CCAATGGATCTTGGCTGAAAGCAGAGAATATCAGAAAGATGTTTACCTGTGCTTTATTGACTACGCAAAGGCTTTCAATTGTGTCCATCATGACAAACTATGGACAACATTGCAAAGTATGAGTATTCCTGAACAATTACTTGTGCTCATGAGGAATCTGTACCTGGACCAAGAAGCAGTTGTTTGAACAGAACATGGAAACACTGAATGGTTTAAAATTAAGAAAGGTGTGTGACAGGGTTGTATTCTTTCACCATACTTACTCAACCTGTATATTGAGCAAATAATCTGAGACTTTGGTTTATATGAAGAAAAACATGGCATCAGGGTTGGAGGAAGACTCATGAACAACCTGCGATATGCAGATGATACAACCTTGCTTGCTGAAAGTGAAGAGGACTTAAAATATTTACTGACGAAGGTCAAAGACCACAGTCTTTGCTATGGATTACATCTTAATGTAAAGAAAACAAAAATCCTCACCACAGGACCACTAAACAACATTCTTATCAGTGGAGAAAAGATTGAAGTTGTCAAGGACTTAATTCTTCTTGGATCAACTATCAACACTCACGGAAACAGCAGTCATGAAATCAAACACCAAATTGCATTAGGCAAATCTGCTGCACAAGACCTTTTTAGTGTTGAAGAGAAAAGATGTCATCTTGAAGACTAGGGTGTGCCTGACCCAAGCCATGGTATTTTCAATAACCTCATATGCATGCAGATGCTAGACAGTGAATAAGGAAGACCATAGAATTAATGCTTTTGAGTTATGGTGTTGGAGGAGAATACTGAAAGCGCCATGGGCTGCCAAAAGAACCAATAGATTAGTTTTGGAAGAAGTGCAGCCAGAGAGCTCCTTGCAGGCCAAGATGGCCAAACTTTGTCTCTCATTACTTCAGACATATTGTCAGGAGGGACCAGTCGCTGGAGAACGATATCATGTTTGGTAAGGTGGAGGGTCAGAGAAAAAGAGGAAGACCCCCAAGGAGATGGATTGGCCAAGTGGTAGCATCAATGGACTCAAGTGTGGCAACAACAATAGTGAGGTTGGCCCAGTACCTGGCAAGTTTCATTCAGCTGTGCATAAGGTTGCTAAGGGTCAGTACAGACTCAATGGCACCTAACAACATACGCATGGGAATGGGAAAAGGGTTACAATGGAAGAATAGCATGGGCAGTGTGTTGAGATCACAGAGACGTAGGTAAAGTGGGAGTCTGTCCGTATTAATGAGAAAAGGAAGCAGGAAATATTGTTTCAGGTAAAATAGCTCCTTTAAAGAGGACCCTCTCCCAAAGGGAATTCTGTAGAAATTCCAGAACTTCAATGTTTGGTTTCCAGTGCCATCTGCTGGGAAGCACAGGAACCAGTTCAGACTTGAGCTGGAAAAGCAAAACCTTGAGTCTGGTTCAATGATTTCAAGGGAGTTAAGTTTTTATTGAGGCTGGACCTTTCCTGCCTGTTTTAATGAGCATCTAAGGAGAGAATTAGCAAACACTGATTATCCCTGCTGTTGCCCTTGCACTTTATGTACACACAGTTGCCAGAACATATGTGCTGCAATTTATCAGCTTGCTCTACTGTCTTCCCAGTTACAAACACAACATGAATCACCTTTCCTCCTTGTACCCTCAGCACACTCACATCTGCCACCAAACAGCCTCTCAAAACAAATATGAACATCAGTCTCCACAAGCCCTGAGGCCAAAAGAATCAGATGGTTCACTACTATTATTACCAAATCTTCTGATAGGGATCACATTAGAAGGTCCCGAGTAAAGTGGGAGAAAATGTGGAACAATACACAAAATTATGTTAAAAAAAAAAAGATCAGGTTTACTGGTCAGAAATAAACAAACCAAGACAATAGTCTGGAACTGAACTAGTGGCTCAACTTCCAGCCAAGAAGTAGATACAGAGGGGACAACACTAGTGGGGTATGCTGCAGCTGCTGCTTAGTGTCATTAAAGTCGGTTCTGACTTATAACGACCCTGCATAGGATTTCTGAGGTCTCATCATTCTCCTGAGAAACGGTTGGTGGCTTTGAACAGCCGACCTCGTGGTTTGCAGCCCAGTGCTTATCCCATGAAGCCACCAGGCTCCCTACCTGTTGACAAATTTGTCAAGAATCAAAAGGTAAGACAAGGCACAAGCAGGAAACTGATGGCATCCTGTTTTCTAGTCTCTGAACTGCATCAAGCAGCTGTCAGGATGCATACTCAGGACCCAGATATGTTCCACAGAGGACGTTACCTTATGCAGGTGGTGGTGATGTGCTGTGGAGTCGGTTCCAACTGATAGTGACCCTGCATACGGTTTCTGAGGGTGTAAATCTTTACGGGAGCAGAAAACCTCATCTTTCTCCCACGGACTAACCACTATACTAAAAGGACAAAGTTCTGGGTGTGGCTAAGCAGGGAAGTGGGAGGGGCAAATATTCCAATTATCAAGTCACTACTGTGCGGGCACCTCATGGCAAGCTGGTAGGTAGGCACTGATGAGAGTAAGAACGTCCCTCCTAACACAACCACTCGCAGAAGTTCCACCCCAGACATCCTCAGCATGGGCAGCACAACTGCACTACTTACTTACAAAGCCTCAATTTCTGAAGCAAAAGCTGTTCCTCACACCAATTAATCTTATCTCTTTGGGTAGACTCCAGGTCTAAGTATCAGTTTCCCAGGTGAATTCGTTTCTTATGGCCGCTATAAATTACATGCTGGCTTTAAAAAAAAAAAATTATCATAGTTCTATAGTTCAGAAGTCTGAAATAGGTCTCACTAGGTGAAAACATGTGACTACTCACTACCAGCATGCTTCTCATTTTAGGCTCACTCACAGCCTACAATGAGTAGAGTTAGAACAGGTGAGTTGAGTACGCCCGTGGCTATACCAGATTCTCGGGCACTCTGTAGGCTGCCTCCTGAAAGTCTCCAAGGTGCACTTCTGACTCACAAGTTGAATGTGACTTGAAAATGTGTGTCCCTTACACACACACATTTTTAATATTTTGGTCTAGCAACTTGAGATACATAGATAACAATATTATGAGTTTTTCAAATGTGTGTACAGATCTTTGTAAATATGACTCTTTTGTAATTAACTCATGTACAGCCTCATCCTATATAGACTAATGATGAATGTGCAGCAGGGGACCTGCCCCAGGCTTTTCTCTCTCTCTCTGCTAGAGTTGCTGGGACAGCATTCCTGTAAGACAAACCCCAGCTGGAAAAGAAGCTGCGTCTTTAGATGGGACATTTACTCTCTCGTTTGCCACAGGTCACATCATAGCCATTTTGTTTTACACCTGGTTCACATCACATTATTTATTTGCCTGGCTTGCTAAAAACCCTTCATTTTTCCCACCCTTCTACCCACCACCAGAGTTCTCTGCATAAAATTAGGCAGGATTCTAGTAAAGATTTGTCATTAATTTTAAAATGAACAACTCCAAAACAAAACCCTTCCCTCACACCCTAGGGAAGAGGAGTGCCTGAGACAGAACACAGTTTGAGTTGAGAAGCCTTGGTGGCCAGTGGACTGGTAATTGGATGACTGGTGGTTTGGACCCAACTACTACCCTGCAGGAGAAAGGTGAGGCAGTATGTTTCTGTAGATTTAGACTTGTAAATCCTCTGTCCTAGAGGATCTCTATGAGTTGGGATGGACTGCATGCATATCTCCATAGCAGTGGGTTTGGTTTTGTGGTTTTTAAACTAACAGCCTACAGCCACCAACTATTCTGATGGCCAAACTGCAGGAAACTGAGCTAACAGCAGCCCAAGTCTTAATTTTTGCCTTTAGAGGCATACATAATAAACTTCACTCTTAGTTCGCATCTGTCAAATTTTTTAAGCAACTATTATCACCCGAGTGCCTCTTTTGTGGTAAACTTCTGATTTCTCTCCAAGGTGAAATATGCCTAATTACTTGGACCATTCCTCTCAAGATCTAGTTGAGACCCCTTCATGATTCTTGGCTATTGCACCAGGTATACTTACCCCAAACACTCCACAGCACTGGAGGGGGATGTGCCCACCCCAGGACAGAGCCGCACTGACTCACAGCCTATGCCGCTATAACATACTCTAACACTACATGAGTTTTAAGTGAGAAAACAAAAGGAGTCACCAACCTGAGGCTTTCTTGGGTACAGAGGGGTCTGCTTAGGGTCTGCTTAGACAGCTCTAGGGAGAGACCCTCTTCTACAGGAAGATCACCAAGTCATTTCTAATGGAAAAGACCTACAGACATAGCCTGCGCTCACAACTCAATAACTTTATAAGACAACCTAGATAAAACACGCTTCACTCAATAAATTGATGCTCTGGCTCAAGTTGAGACCTGGGTTTAGATGTGGTTTTGGTTTAACTACGCTTTGCCTCAGAATAAATGTAACAGCATATATAAACCACTGTAAATAATGCCATGAACAACATGTTAACTTTTATTATTAACCCATGTTTTCTGGCTGTTCTTCAACATCGTCACTTCCACCCCAGCTCTTCAGGCTGGGTCTAACATGAAGCTATCACTCAACAAATGCTGAGTGTAAACAATGGCAGAGTCTAGTCTCCTGACATACACAATTATGGCAGCACTCTCGGTCTCTCCACTGAAGAAAGAACAAATAAATGACTTAGGCTACAAAGTTGTAGTAGTCCAGGAAAACTGCTAAGTAGTGGAATAAGTCAGCAAATTTCTAAGCATTGGGGCCATTTTAGTAGCAGTGACAGCTGCAGGGAGATAGAGTCGGTGTTCTCTCAACTCCCACCCCACCCCACCCCCAGTCTATGGAGATGTCACTGTTGAGTCTTTGGGCACAGAGTGCTTTGAAGCAAAAACAAAAAATAGAGTATAATTTCAGTAAGAATGTGACTCTCTGAAGTCCCAAGAAGTTTAGCACACACTCGAAAAGCAGGTAGTATCTGCTAGGAGCTCCAATAGAGGAATCCTACACAAGGACATGATACAAGAAGCAAAAATCATCAACCCAAGAGCAGAAGGGGAAAGGACCCTTTTCTTTGCCCATACCTTACCAAGCTAGAGGTCATGTGGAGTGGAATATAAAACCAAGAAAAATACAAGGCTAAAAAAGTACTGTGCAATGTATTTCTTCAATCTCTGGCAGACAGGAAGACCAAGGTCACTCTGGCAGGAAGCTGAGGACGCCTGACATCAGTAATCACACAATCTTCACAGTCTTGAGCATATCTGAGAGGACATATGTGTCATCCCAACCCATCCCAGGCTTCCTCAAGGTCCGTTCCAGGGCTTGAGCCATTTCCAGGAGCTCCGGTGTGGCAAGTTTCTGCTCTGGGTGCAACTGACAAAACAGGATCTCGTTGACTTCACCCTCAATTCGCCGGACGTAAAGGAGTGGAAATACCGTCTTGAGTCCAGCAAGCACTGAGTCCTTTAGCCCCAAGTCTCGGCACACAAGGTTGAGAATGAAAACACCTGATGGATGGGAAAGAAAGTGTTAGAATGACTGCAGACCCGAGGCAGAAATTCAGCTCTGAGGACAAGATCATTTCCTGCCTCAAGGAGGCTAGTAAAATAAGAAAATGCCCTGACAGAGGCAGTGAGTTTGCAGAGAGCATGAAGCACACAAAGGTAGAAAGAGAAAAACATGGGGGTATGTGAAGAAATGTCCTTGTTCTTCTCTGCTAACATACATTATTTTACCTTTCTCTGTGCCTCAGTTTTCCAGAATTCCTCTCAGATAGAATTAAAAGCAAAGAAAGAACTTATTGGTTCCAGGGGAATTATTGGCACACACACACACATGACCGAGATTAATGAACAAGAGAATCAAGGTAACCATACACTAAATCAAAGCACCTGGGAGACCGTGAACACAGGGGTTAAGAGCTCCAGCTTTCACTGACACGGAACTGTGTGACCACATGCTCCTTTGGCAAGTCTTGTAACCTCAGTTTCCTCATCTGAAAGTGTGCCTACTAGAAAGCTTGAACAGCATCCAGCCTCATACAGTGCATGCGGGAAGTCAAGTGGCAGCAGCATCGCCATGCTGATGGGAGCAGAAACTGCTATAAACTATAACCACGTTAGAAAACTGTGTGGGAGCATCTATGAGAGCTGAACACATTGTCCAGAGATTATAACCTTAGATAAGGACCCAACAGCCTGCAAACTTTTTTTTTTTATTTAACTTCACCATGCTAATGGTGGCACTATTCCTAATAGCAGTCCTAGTGTAGTGCTATGGGTTAATGAGCTGCACTGCAAAGTCAGTGGTTCAAGGGCACCAGTCACTCCTTGGAAACCCTATACAGTCCAATACAGAAAATTACCCAAATACCACCCAACAGTAACATGGATGAATTGTATAATGGCCACCATGAGAGTACACAGCAATGTAAAACAACACAACGGATGAATATCACAACCATCTTGTTTAGTGAAAGAAATTAAAGGACATTCTGTGTGACTCCATTTATGTAAAGAACAAAATTAGCTAGGCTGACAGAACGTATCCTTTGCAGGAGGAGGTTACTAGAAGGAGATAAGAGGTGGGCTTTAGGATGCTAGAAAAGTTCTGTGACTGATGTTGGTAAACAGGTGCATTCAATTTGGAGAAAATCATTTTCCAATTCATACACAAAAATGGTATGTTCATTTTCCATTTGAAAGATAAATTTTTACCCCTCTGTATACAGGGTAAATAGGGATGGGCAACTTAAGACTTTGGCTACCTAAAATGAGGGGGCAATAAAGTCACGAAGTGACTGGCTTACAAGGTTTCAAGAAGGAGTTGAGTTTAAGAGTGTGCCAGGGAAGATAGAGTTCCCACTGAATAGTTTTCATCTTGTCTAGATGGGTCTGGTAAAAAGAGATGGGGATCATCAACTAAGAAGAGAAGGACTAAGAACTG